GAGTATTTTATGATTGTCAAAGTCTGATTTGCCATTGAAAAAAAAATCTAAACTGTCCATTACATATGTGACCCTGGACCACAAAACCAATCATAAGGGTCATTTTTTTTAACTGAGATTTAGACATAATCTGAAAGCTGAATAAATAAGTGTCCCATTGATGTATGGTTTGTTAGGACAATATTTGGCCGAGATACAACTATTTGAAAATCTGGAATCTGAGGGTGCAAAAAAATCAAAATACTGAGAAAATCGCCTTTAAAGTTGTCCAAATGAAGTCCTTAGCAATGCATATTACTAATCAAAAATTAAGTTTTGATATATTTACAGTAGGTAATTTACTAAATATATTCATGGAACATGATTCTGTGATCCAGGATCACATATATAACAGAAATTGTATTGTTATTTAAAATGAATAACCTTCAATATGACATTGTTTGACAAAACACTGTGTCAAGAAACAACCCAACAAAATGTATATAACCCAGCTATCTGGGTCAAAAACACTAATATTTGTTCAGCACTGGGTTGCCAAATAACCCAGCATTTTTAGAGTGAACATTTACTGCATTAAAATCAAGACTTAAATAAATAAATACATTTTAGATTATTTTATTTGGTTTTACATGCTTTTAAATGCATTTCATAATTATTATAATTTAAAAAATTATATAAAATATAATAATTGCAAACAGGCTAAATCTTATATCTCAATACAAAAGTAAGTGCAAATACTTTCAGCAATTTAATTATTCAAAATAAATGATTACTTTATAGTTCAGTGGCAGCTATAAGACAACACTCTAAGCAAGAAAGAATAATGAGCTACAATTCAATCAAACACCTTAAAAAAACAGCAGTGCGTCCGCTTCTACGGCCAAGGAGTTGCAGACAGCCTGGGCTGTAACATGATAAGCACGTCTCTCTCACAGACATGGCTTTAACAGCTCTGTAATGGCTGTCTTTCCCCTACTGCACGCTGCACCCTGCTCTGCTCCACAGCATGGGGGCCTCTTCTTATATATCCGCTGTTTCTTAAAAAACTTTGAGAAACAAATAAAATGCATTATGCTGGTAGGAAAAACAGTAAGACACTAAAGTCATCTTTAAGGTATGCACACGACTGCCAAAGCATAGTCAAAAAAGTTACAATTGGGTGAACGAAAAAGGAAAAAGAAAAAAAGGGTGTGCAGCTCTAATGCGACAGAGAACAGCTGAAACAGTGTTTAGACACACGCGGAAAAGGCCCTCCCATGCGCGAGTCACTGTGATGTCATAAAGAGGTGCCACAAGCGAACAATAACAGTGCAGTACGGTACAAAGAATAGTAGAATGAATGGCGTGTGACAAATGTGAGCAAGGTTGAGTTCGAGCTGCCTCACCTTTGGGAAGCACAGGGCGATTGGGCTCAGGTGGGCAGACGGGAAACTGTGCCAGCTCTGCCTGCGCTCCATAAGCCACCCATCAACCTTTCCTCTCGCTCAAGATTGGGGTTAACTAAGCAGGCCGTCTGGTCAAAGGCTGCCCTACAGGCTCCCGTTGAAGATGAATATGTGTGCATGCATTCTGTGCACATGCCAAGATTGTAACAATATCAAATACAAATTCAAACTGGTTTCAAAATGGTTAATGTCAGTCAGTCCGTCAGCGTTGAAATAAAGACATGCTCACCTGTGTGTGTGTGTGTGTGTGTGTGTGTGTGTGTCATGCACTGCACACACAGCCATTAAATGATTTTCTCACAGTTCTTCCAGTCTAACCAGCACTTTTAACAAGACCTTCTTATCAAAGACAAACTTACATCTCATAGATAATGTGTGAGGAGTTATATGTCTCTAATGGCTCACGCACCATTAGTCTGTTCACCAGCTCTCATGTGTGAAAGCATATTGTGCACATACACATTCAGCTAGCTTGCAGCTAAATGTCAGCCATTTTGCCTGTAAAAGCCCAGTTTTGAGTGCTGACAGGCTGTGTCTTCTAGCAAGACATCACACACAGCTTCCATTGTTGCTTTACAGTGTTATAGCTTGATTTTATTGCATGTGTCAAAACAACATAAGCTGCACAACAACTTTTTGATTCTTATCCATTGCTATTTTATTTCTATGCGCAACTATATGTCTCTCTTCAAAGACAACATCATAATGTAAACAGGGAAAGTCAAAGCCCACATTTAAGTGAAAGAGGGGGGGAATAGAATTTGACAAAACGTTTCCCCAAATAAAGAACCTGTGTAAATACATAAATGTGTATCGTTAAAAAAAAATGCACATTTTTAAAAGACATCTCTGTGGCAGTTTATATCAGTCACTTCACTGTACATGCGAAATTGTTATTTGTGTTAATTTTCAGTGGCGTAATTTACTGTATGCATGTATATATTGTCACGCAGCGCATATACTGCGTAAACCAGAAAAAAAAGTCCTTCAACGCTGTATTTTTTTTTTTTTGTGTGTGTGACAGAGCCAGGCCTCATTTCAGTTTATTATTGATTAGACACGCCACCCCAACTTGATTCAAAATAATTAATTGTTTCCAGTAATATTATACATGCATAACACACATTGCACGCTCTTTTTTTCTATAGAATTGTGCTTTCAGATTTATGACTATGATGTTAAAATCAGAGAGGATTTTAAAGAGAGGAGGGAGGCTGTATTAGGCGAACGCATGCTTACCTGGCGCCTGAACAACCCGATTTCTCTCTGAAACTCAACTTAAACTATCGTATGATAATATATCAAAGACAGAGCTTGAACTAAGTGACTCATAGGTTATATAAATAAGCCACAGAATATTAATTCTCAACCAGAACGCATTAAACGCTCGTCGAAAAATGAACGAAAGGCCTAAGATTATGAGTCAAGCTCGTTTATGGCCACTTGATTCGTTCACTAACAGCAGATGCCGGTTTGTGCTTTACTTGCAGCCCACGTTAACATTTGATAACATTGCTTAATTAAACACAATTATGGTGATGATACTTGACTGCATTGAGGTATGAAAAATCATTAAAAGCAGTGACCGACGGTGTCTCATAAAAGGTGATCATATTTAAGACGCTTCTCGGCCATACCTGCCATTTCTTTGGGAATTACGATACGGCAAACTGTTGCGTTGAGAGAAAAATAAAAAAATAATAATAATTTGCAATGTGCTGATGTTACATAATTTGCGTTTTTAAAACAGTTTCGCCATATTTTAAGAATAACCTAAGAAAAAATGTATTAAACATGTATGATTTTAAAGAATCATTTTAATTATGCTTTTTTCTATATAATAATACTAATAATAATACACAAATTGTAACATCCTCTGCATCCTCTGTCCATCATTTAAATTTAAAAGAATGCAGATCAATTTAAAAGAGTATTATATCTCCATGCATTCCTGAGAAACGGAATTTATACGAACACGGGAAGCCGTAGCCTCTAATAAACATCTTAACTCAATGATATCGCAGACAGATTGAATGCAGTCATAAAGTAAATCTGTCGAATGTGACTCTGGAAGAGCAGAACACTGACTGATCAAAGCAACGAGATGAACCACGGTATACACGAAATAAAGAAAAGTATAGCCTAGACAAGTTTTGAGAGAAAATACCGAGGCCCATATTTCTGTCCCTAAACAAACTGAGTAGGCTGTACGTTCTCCCGGCAATTTGAATCAACAGGTCACGGGCCCACGCGTGCTTTCCTACATATATTCAAACACTAAAATGTCTTAATATTTTAATACATGTCGCGTCTTATATATGGCCATTGAAACCTATAGGCTGAGCATTATCAAAACTGTGCACGGTTGCATCTGTTTCACATGCCACTTGTTCAGTTCAAAATAAATTCATTTTGATCCAAAAAAAAAAAAAATCTGAAAAGGAGATATTAAAACATTGTATCGATTGTATACATTGTATTGTATGTTGTGCACGATATTTACTTCGTTGTAATTGTCCGTAAATACTCAAATGATCGTGCAGCGATTTAATACATAGCCATAAAAAAGAAGCCTTTTTTTCGAACGAGTCGCACGAGCGATGACTGTGCCCACACTGCAGTGAATAACCGCATGCAAAAGTTTCACGGGCACTTAACATAAGAAAATAGTTTGAGTGCAAAATCCTACCTATCACAAACAAGTCAAAATACAAGTGAAAGCCTAACGAACAATAAGCAAAGACATCATGCAGAGTCCAGAGGAGATTTACACACTTTCCCTCGCCTTTGAAAGAGTAAAGAAAATAGCTGACTCTATTTTCCTCAACATGACATGTATGCATTATTGATTTCGCCTTCGAAAGAGTCCAGAAAATAGCAGACTCTGTTTTCGTCAATATGACATGTATGCATTATTGATTTGCCATTCGCAGATGAAGCCGCATACCGAGCCGCAACAGACCCCAGAGGCCAAATGCAAGCTCCTAATTTAAGATTATCGGAAGAATTGTCCATTTTGCGTGATATTCCTTCTGCTATGGCATCCAGCGGACAGGCAGAAAGCTCTGGAGATCTCCACTCTCTCTCTCTCTCTCTGCGTCCTGGGGTCCATGAGCAGTGCTAGAGCGCCCACTATTTCAACAAGCAGGAATATGATTTCACAAGACCTGGAACCACTCAATAAAAAAAGTTACTATCCCTTTCGACAACTCTTCGCTAACTTTCGTGTAACAATTCTCTACGGTTTCTCGACTTCGCTAAAACAAGAGAGTGAAACTGCGCGGCGTGGAAACGCGCTCCTGACCATTTCAGCCAAAGCACCATCACACATACAAGAAACTTCTGAACAAGCACACCACGGCTGCATCTGGTCTAAAGGGTGGACGCCGCGGATCACGGAGAGTTTGAGCGAGTTCAGTGCAACTGAGAGCTGAAAAACAAACGCACCGGACAAAGACGCGCTCGCAGTAGGAACTGGTCAATGAAAATGACACTTTGGTGATGTGCGCGAGGGTTCAAAGTACCGGGAGCGAAAGAAGCGCAAGAAGGACCTAC